TTAGATCAAGCTTAATTACATTGTTTAAATCTTCCATATTCATAGTCTTTTGATTTATTAATTCCTACATATGATATATTAAAATCGCCTATGATGATGAAATTGTCAGTTTTTCTGTTGTTTTTGCTTTAAAGCACTAGATTACAAAGGACATACACACATATATGCATGCATATGGATATATAATAGATGGATATTAACAGCAACAGAGTATGTTGGCAGAAATCTAAAAACAACGCTTCTAAATGTCTCTTACTAGTGATTAGGCCAAATTCATTACAGGAAATAGTATGTAGCCATCAAAAAGCACGGATTGTTTTGCATTTACTAATCTATGGGGAGTTTTGTGCTAAGTGAAAAAGGCAAGTTATAGAGCATGTGTATTGTGATCCTATTTTTTAGTAAATGAAACAGAAATCCCTTTATCTACAAATGTTTCAATATGTTTGAGTTTAAATAATAACTTTTAACACCAGTTTCCTCAGGGAAATGATTGAAGGGTTTGGGAAGGATAGCAGTAAAAAACATCTTTGTTCTCCTTCACCTCCTACAATAATAGTATCTTACTTTAGCAATTTAGGATAGGCCTAGGAAAAAAGTGATATGATCAGCACTCATTTTAGGGGACCCAACAGGAAGATGTGGGCATGTGGAAAAAGACAAGTCACAAAAGTTATGATCCAGTCTTTGTTATTAGAGTGGGATGTGCCTATTGATATGGACATAAGGAAATGTTTAGGAACATACACTTAATCAATATTTCTGTAATTAAGTAGAAGGCTTATTGGGGTTTTTTTTCACTGCTGCAAATATGTGTATTGCTTACATTCATTTTACACACACATATTATGAGAAGTAGCCCCATGCATGCTACCTCTCACATACAGTTCTGGACAGTTCATAGACCTGCTAAAGCCCACTGGTTATCACCTGAGTCTCTTCTCCACTAGAAACATGGAGACTTTAACAACAGAAATAGTAGCTCACCTGTCAGTTTCTCCCTCCTATTCTCCTAAAGGAGCTGGCTGCAGGGGACAATCTTGGTACTGAAAATTTGATGACTCCAACCTCACTTAATCAAAATGTGGCTTAAGTTTTTTATGCTGTTCCCACTCTGTGGGCAATGAGCTGTGTGGGGGGCGGGCATGAGGGCTGGGCTGGTGGCCTTGCTTCCAAACCATCTAAGACACTAACTCTGAAGAGGGGAGGAGGAGATAGGGACATGGCAGTTTAGTTTGTAAAAACATATTCAACGTTAAAACATAATCCTTGATAGTGAAAGAAAACTGTTTGGGTAGCATAAATTTGTCTGGTGGGAGCACGCCAAACAGAACTGAGCTCCAGAGAGATGAGAGAGGTAGCTGGAAGGCAAGCAGATGACTCTCATCTGAACCATGCTTAGGAGTTTGAACTTTATCCTGAAGGCAAACCAGGGGAATTACTTAAAGGGTCCAAGTTGGGGAGTAACATGATTTGAGTGTTTTCAGGATTCGTTTGGCTGTGTGGTGGAGAAAGAACTGGAGAGAAGCAAGAGGGGGAGTTGGCATACTTGTTTGGAGGCTGTTGTGGCTAAATCAGCTCAGAAGGTAATGGCTCTTGGGCAGTCGGTAAAAGCAGAATTAAGTGGGAATAAGGCAATGGTTTGGAGAAAGGTATTCTAGAGGTAAGATGACTTAGGAATCTGGGGATGGGGAAGGCAAAGAGGCTCCAGTTAGATTCCTAGATTTCTGTCTGGGGCAACTGGGAGAGGGTGGCTCCAAATTGAGACCAGAATGGTGGAATAGCATTGGAGTATTCAGGGGGATGAAAATGGAAGAGCCTAAATACACGTTATTTCTCTTTCTTTGACTTTAGGCAATTGATAGAAGGCCCAGAGTGTTCTGCTTTGTCCACCCTCCCCTCTGCTCTCAGAGGCCTCTTTGCCTTTCTCCACCATCATCTTCCCCATCAATGTAGCAGATGATACAGGTAAGAGAAAGTCAGTGAGAAAGCGGTGCCATCAGTCTGAGGGTGGAAATTAATGATGACCAAACAAACAAGACACACGTTAATAATTGATATATATCTTTTTATTATGCACAGATAAAGGACTTAAAACTGTGGTTATCAAAACTAGACATCTAAGCATGTTCACAAAATCGCTGACACACTGACAGAAAAAAAGACAACAGGGGTGTTCAGACTGGCCACAGGGATTTTCAGGGTACTCTTTTTACCCTCATAGTTGATGAAAAACAGCAACAAAATCAGGCTCATTCAGGAAAAACCAGAAGAGAGAAGTATTGTATTTGGAAATTGATAATAGTCCTTTTTAGAAAAACATCTGTCAGTTTCATGAACAACCCCTAGATAAAACAAACAAGAAAAAAAGTCGCATACAGGACTCACCCAACAAAATGTGCTCTGTTAACACAACCAGCAGTACAGTCATCATTCAAACCATGAGGTAGTTACAGTACAAAAAGACTGGCACGCGTGTGCGCGCCCCACACACACTCAGTCATGCCCGCTGAGAACACACGCAGGAAATGGATTTACAATCTTATTACCACACAAGGGAAAGACCATTTTGTGTTTAGAAAATGCTATAGAAACAGCTTAGACAGAGAGATCTCTGACTTCAAAATACAGAATTAACAGCTGGTGAACACCACATGGTGAGAAGCTATAGGATGTTACACAGACGTCTGCCTTGGAGTTCAGAGCCTTTCAACAATAGCTTCAGCATCCACAAACAAAACAAAATGGCCTTTGCAAATTACGGGCGTAGCCTGCAGAAATAACACATGACTTGGCAGACAGAATTGAGTTCAACTGGAATATAAAAACAGTTTTAAAGAAACTTGCAGAACATGTTATAAAAGTAGAACTTGTACTTTGTATTAAAACTGTGAAGATGAAGCAATCAGAAATGCTGTAATAAGAAGCTGGGGAGAAAACACACTATTTTTTTAATGTTCATTGTTTAGAAACATTTCAGAAATACCTAAGGACATTCACTCTCTGAAATGGGATCAGGTTTCATTTTTAGAACGGGATTTCTTGATCTTTAAATAATACTTCTGACAATGAGACCCAAACAAATACAAGGTGTTTTTTTCCTTCTTTTCTTTCTAACTCTCTTTTAAAAATCTTTGGGTGTGCATCTATAAATTTGTAAATTAATTAAAATTATTTATAAAATCATTGGCAACATAGTATCTCTCTCAAAAATATACATTTAAATATATTACAGAAGTTTTTTTTAACCCTGTCCATCTAAGAAATGAATTTTTTAATACCTCCTCATAGCTAATTTTGTTTTTAATAAGACGGAAAGGGTTTCTTTAAAAAGCAAAGAACTGATCAAAAGAATTCACAGTAACTGAAATTAAACATTTCATAGGGAGTAACTTAAATTTATCTAAAACACTTAAATATATCTTTATACACTTTTTTGTAGTAAAATATAGCTATAAGTGACTTAAAGACTCTAGTCTTCTTTGAAGACATCTTTAAATTTTTTTATACATAGAATATGCTAAAACAATACATTCTGCTGAAGGTTAGGCAAAGCGCATTATTTTCAAACACAGGTAGCGTAATCCAGGTCCTCCACTCTGATACCCTTATGTTAAAAAGAATAAACTAAAGGAAAACATTTCTCTAGTCTTGTGTTGTCTTCAATGCATACATGGAAATCTGAAAGAAGTTCAACTTATCAATGTAGGTAGCCTGGAAATCTCAGTGCTAAAGTAATCTGCTTTGATTAAAATTATCTTGATTGAATGTCTACACCTATCTAATCAATCACTAGTACTCAATGACTGGATGATAGTGATTTCCATCTCCTCTTACTTGTATACATGTAGATACTCCCTAAAGATTTGAGTTTCATCAGCATTTATTATTCCATTTGCAGAGGACCAGGCACAACTGCTTTATTTTTAAGGGCAGTGAGATTTGCTTATGAATATTTTGGGGTGGATCTATTTGTTTTATTTATGGAATCCTAACTCATTTGGGGGAAATTCTGGAAAAAGAAAACTATTTAACTTGCATTGAAGCTATCTTCAGAAGTAAATGATCTGGTGTGGGAATCCTCTTCTGGCATTCTTTTTAGCATAAAGGTATCGCTGAGCTTTATTTAGCTGCAAAGTGGCATCATATTATTCCATTTCATGACATTCACTTCAAATCCTTTTGGAGTTTGGGATATATTTAAGGCAAGAGAACTAAAACAATCCAAATGAGTGCCTTTCACCCTATTGCAGCTCTGTCTTGGCAGAATTGGTGAGGCTATTCAGATTACCTATAGGACTCCAACAGGATCTGCCAGGAATTTGTGTCTCATGGGGGCTTGGATTTTACAAAGGGGCTTATTAGAAAGGTTGATGTGTTTTAAGTAGAAATTCTCATTCTACCAAATATGACTTAGGAGTAAATTCCAACTCTGGAATCATAGAACATTTTCATAAGGGGAATGAATTTGTCTCTTCTTCAACTGAGAAAATGTGCCACATGACATATTATACACTTCCACTTACATATGCATATATATAGATCAACTTGCAAATTTCTCCTCAACTTTACAACTGACTCTTGCCCTAATTTAGACATTAATTTATCAGGGAAAAAAATGTAGGAGATGGACACAGATCAATAGTTCCAGATTTTGGCTATCTTCAATTTCTATATGCCTATACGAAATATGAAGTTTGCATTAAGACATTTTTGTAGTTGGTGTGTGTAAGTGTGGGGAGACACAGGAAGCTGACAAGGCAGTCAGCACTGGTTTTGGCCCAAGACACAAGAAAGGAATGTTGACTTGACATGTGGCAGGATGCAATCCCCAAGGGCAGTCAACACCCAGCTAACCACACATCAGACCCCACAAGGCATGGCAGGTCAGAAGTGTGCATCCAAAGATGCCCATTAGACATGGAGGAGCGCTTAGAAAGCCTTAAAGCATTTCTTTTGTTTTATGTCTTGGTTCAGATATAAAAGAATCTTTGGCCACATCTCCTCATTGAATCTGCTGTCTAGCTGTTATCCTTTTACCATCTCCTTGAGTCTGGGTAAAAACTCAGGGTTCCAAATTATGGATGTTCTCACCTGGACAAAGCAGCATTTAAAAAACTGGCATGTGTTTCACATTGAAAACCCCGCAGCCTGTGAGGGGCTGGTGGAGAAGGCCACCATCTTAGCTTTTGCACATGAATTCTAGTGTGTTACAGAAGTCCAGGGGTCACGCTTACATTGGCCATGGTGAGGGGTGAATACAACAGGTGATCTTTACACTGAAATTCACTCTCCCTTTACAATGGAACCAAATTCAAGCCTTCTGAGTCTGGATGCACACCATCAGCTGTCGCGGGCCCAGCTGGGTCTGGCTAGGCTGTGCTGCTGCTGGAGCAGGGTGTGCTCTGAGTGCTACCGATGCTGTGGGCTGCACTGCTGTTTTCAGAGGCTGGTGGGGAGGTGGGGACTTGCTGTCTTCCTGCTGTCTCCCCTGTAGTTAGTAAAGAAATAAAGCAAAGGAAGGTGCATGTTACGTGTGTGGAAAAGAATCTTTCCCCCAGCTTTGCCATTTATCTATTCTTTTTCTCAACCAAAGCAGAAGCAACTGGCCCAGGTCCTGGATGGCTGGAAGACCTTACCTCATAAGGTTTTTCTGCTTGTTGCTTTGCTTTGAAAGTCTCGTGCACAGGGAAAAGAGGAGGGTTTTCCTGTTGGCTAACAGGCAATCTTAGTGGCTAAGACCTCTGACAGTTGATGACAAATGCCCTGGATTTCAGAGCCTACAGCCTTTGAATAAAAACCACACACATCTGGACTGTGTAGGACAAGTGACCAGTACCTACCTGAACTCAGGAAATGCTGTACCTTCTCTTATAAAGATATTATACTTTGGAGGCTGAGACCTTTAAATTATAATAAGGAAAACTTGGCAGTTTGGGAGCCTTTTTATTTTTGGTGCTAGGGATTGAACCCAGGGGCTTGTACATGCAAAAACACATGCTCTTCCAATAAGCTACAGCTTAACTCCTGGAGGCCTTATTTTCTGAAAGCTCTTGTTTAAAACTGGGCTGGTGAAGTCTAGATTGTGCCCTAGCAACAGCAGAGAGTCTTGTGTGCCAAGCATACGACCTACCTAGGAAGTGAGAAGGGGAGGGAGGCTGCTATGGGAAAAACTTTTTGGGGAAGGGGCTTAGCTGTTTGCACATAAAGACTGCAGTGGTTGCCAGCAAACACCCTCCTTCCAGGCTGAGGTTTGTTGCTGAGTGCAACGAGAGTATCTCCTAACACATTAAGCATCCCACTTTTCATTACACACTCCGCTGCATTTCAGCTAAACCCATTCTTTGTGCCAAATGTGCAGGGCTGTGGAGAGGGAGGAAACCTCGGGTCACACACATGGTTTGCATTTAACAGTGCAAAAGGCCCTAGAATTAGTCTTCTCTTCAGCAAAACTGGCCTCAGCGCAACCCTCAAAAAATGGCTTTAGGTAGGGAAAAGTGATCAGGGCTCTCCAAAGAAATGCACTGCATTTTCTTTAAAAAATCAGAGCACAAACTCCATAAACTTCTTGTAAGCATTCTCCCCACTCCAATGTAGGAAGCCCCAGAGGGCCAGGTTTGTTTAGGAATGAGCCCGCTCTTTCCTGTCATGCTGAAATACACATCTATCAGCCGGAGATAAGCAACCCTCCCTTCTGCTTCATTAAAACAAAACACCCGAGCAAATGCTCTGCCCTCCAAGTACAGGAACTCGAGCCCGTAACTTCCATTCCCTTTCGGGGGGCCCCTCAAAAGCATCTGCCAAAAGAGCAGCTCTGCAAAATGTAGAACCGGCTCGTGCCCCTGGGTCTGGTTACAGTTCTCGCTGTCACCCATTTTATGAACTAAGCTCCACACACGTTTGCATCGACCTCAGAGCATTTATGTGCTTTCTGTATGGCTGGCCCTGTGTTTCCTCTAATTATCTTTTCTTCTGGGATTGGTGAGATGGAGGGAGAAGGGGGTCAATATTCCCAAGAAGCAGGGAAACTATATTTACTCTTCTTTTTTTGGAAAACTATATTTTAGACCTTCACCAGCATTGCCCCTTACCCTTCATGTGTAGATGTAATTAAGGGTGGGAAATCTGCCTCAATGACAGTAACTTTCTGCCAAAGATTTACTTTCCCCAGAGTGGGTGCTTATTTCTAGAAGAGGATCAAATCTCAATCTCTCTCTCTCTCGCTCTCGCTCTCGCTCTCTCTCTCTCTCTGCTAGGGACTGAACCCAGGGCTTTGTGTATGCTTGCCAAGTCCTCTGCCACTGAGTTACACCCAAGCCCTGATATACACATCACACACCACACACAGACACCACACACACACACACACACACACACACACACACTCCAGAGACCTAAACAACTCTTGATAGATTTCAAGAATTCAGCCCCCTTGCTGGGTACAGTGGTGCATGCCTGTAATCCCAGTGGCTTGGGAGGCTGAGGCAGGAGGATCAAGAGTTCAAAACCAGCCTTAGCAACTTAACGAGACCATGTCTCTAAATAAAATATATATATATATATTTTTTTAAGGGCTGGGATGTGGATCAATGGTTATGAACCCCTGGATTATATCCCTGGTACCAAAAAAGAAAAAGAAAGAAAGAAAAAAAATAGAATTCAGCTCCTTTACAATTTCCATGTTGATACACACTCAGCTGGATACTCATGTTATCAATTAGAAGGAATAATGTGGCTACACATGAGCCACATTTAAAAAATCTCTTTCCCATTTAAATAAAGAATACACCAGAAAAGCAGGAGGAAAGCCAGCCCCCTCCCTTTGGGCCCTCCAGGCTTCATTTACTCTGCCTCACAGAGGTTAAAACCGGATAGCCTTGCCTCCTCTGGCCACAGTGGACAAGTGCGTCTCTTCCAGAACATGACACGTGCTTGATTATTCAGATTCAGGAAAAGTGCCAGTACCATGCCCTGCCCAGGAAGTCCGAATATTTGCTTTCCGGTGTCTATTTGCCAAATATAATTTGTTGCCATGTCAGTTTATTTTAATCAGTGCCCATTAAAAAGAAATCTTTCAACTTCCAGAGTTTCAGAAACTCTTGGCCTTGGAAACACTGTTCAAAGTAAAACTGCAAACAGCAAAACAAAGAAGCTCCTACCCTTGAGATTGCAGGGTCTTTCACCCAGGAGGACATAATGTTAACATAATGTTCTATCAACTTTGATCCAGTAAGGTGTTAAGGAGAATGTGTCTGAGCATCTGCTTGGAAATGTTTAAAACTCCTTCTATAGACAAACTATCCCTTCTACCTCTGGCTGTTTCCACAGGCAAAAGATTTCTCAAAATAACCAAATTAAAAAAATTATTTTTACCTTTTGGAAAAATTAAGAAAAAGATTTTTCATTGTCAGGTGGAAAAATTCATCATGGGGAAGAATGTTAAATGTGCCAAGAGAGTTCTTCTTGGATTCTGCTTAGAATTCTGCTTAGAAAACCAACAGTTTCCTGGGATATCTGTGATGGGTCCTTTGGTTTTCTGCTCTCTGTCACAGTGACACTGGCTTTTTGGAATACCCACTTTCTCCAAAATATCCCTTGGGTGTCAGATACAATCAGGCTACTTCTGGAGGAGATGGGGAGGGATGACCCTGTTGCTAAGCAACACATGGAAGAAGTTTGAAGAAGGCTCCTTGCTCATACTATCAAACTTGACCATAAGAGACAATGTGTTCAGTGTTTGTGTGTTGTTCCTAAAATTTAAAACCACATTGAGAGAAGAGAGATTGGAGGAAGAGGGAGAGTGAGTAGGGGAAAGAGGCATGTGGTGCCTGGAATACTCTGGAGGAGGAGGGTGTGCTGAAGGAGAGAATCTCATATCGGTCTGTGGATGAGCCTAAACAGTGCCAGAAAAGTTAAAAGAAACAGAAAAAAAAATTCTCAAGGGAAAATCTGTTTTATTTATTTTCAAGAGTACCCAGAATTTAACACAGGGGCACTCAACCATTGAGCCACATCCCCAGCCCTATTTTGTATTTTATTTAGAAACAGGGTCTCACTGAGTTGCTTAGTGTCTTGCTTTTGCTGAGGCTGGCTTTGAACTCACAATTCTCCTGCCTCACTCTCCTGAGCTACTGGGATTACAGGCATGCCCACTCTTCTGTTTTATTTCTTTAGCTTAGCCCAGTATTGTCCAGATCTGATTTTGTGCAACCTCTTGACAACCTACTTTACAACTGGATTCTTATCTCTCAGCCTTTCACCACGTAGGTCCTAGGGAAGAAATTCTCTCTGAGAGATGTGAATAACGTGGAAAGGCTATATGGGGAAACAGTAGTGGAAGAGTTTAAAAGAAAGATGAGAAGAATCTAGATTATTTAGCCCAAAGCAGATTGAGTGCAAATACTGCCCTTGAGGATGATTTCAAAGAGAAGCAGACTGCTGTTCTTTATTTCCCTGGAGGGCAAAACATGAGGAAATGAGTTTAAATGGCAGACACAGGATATAAGTCAGAGAGAACTTGCTGGTTTTGAGGATTGGTTGGTTATAGGGAGAATTTATGGAATCTTGTTCTTGGGAGATAGTTAAGCAAAGGATTGAAAACCATATGCCTAGGTGATTTAGATTTAATATTCCTTGATGCTGTAAAGAACAATACTTTCCTCTAGGCCTATGTGTTGACTGTAATTTTGTAGCAATTAGTGTCAGTTTCTTGATATCCCAACTAATTTTCAAGCCAACTCCTGTAAGGAGAATGAACTAGGCTATCTTTAGTTTAGAGGTCTTGAATCACTTTTTATCATTTCCAAAAATTGTTTCCCAATTGTCCAGGCTAAAAGAACTTTCTTTTGCATGCAAAATATCCAGGAAGGGTAGGTTAGATGTTGTTATAAGAGAAAAAAATATAATTTTCCAAGGTGGGAATTAAAACCTTTCAAAATATCCTGCTTACTACTTCCTTCCTATATTCCTGCAGTGGGGCCAACCTGTTTGCACCTGCACTTTGGTTTTCTGTTTCTTACTTTAACTTGATTAAGAGGATGCACTCAAAGTCTGACAACAAGAATGAGAGAAGGGGGAGAGAGAGGAAAAAGGAAAGAGAAAACTGGGTAGAGGAGGAAGGCCATCTTTATAACCCCTAGGTATGGCTATCATCATAAATGAGCTTGAAGCTCTAGGTTGTTCAACTGCTAGTCCCGAGCAAGGTACATTAAATTAACCCTTTAGTATATGAAGGAGATCCTTACTTCCCAAGTTCTTAGGGATGAGATGCTTAAACAATAAATGCATATGAAAAACTTTTTGAACCCCAAAGTCCTATAAAAATGTAAGATACTTGAGCCTGCTCAGATGTGTAAGCAGGAAAAAAATCCAAGAGTGGAAGGAACACTGTGGTTCACAGAGCAAAAGAAATGTGGAAGTTTTGAATCAGGCATGCCCATCCCAATCCCTCAGACGTGGATTCAACAATCCTCCAGCAGATGTACCATGTGT